ACTGCAGCCTTCAGTATGGACTGAGGCTCAATGTCAAGAAGACAAAGATTCTCACCACTGGACCAATTGGTAGCATCAGGATGGATGGCAAAGAGATTGAGATTGTTCACAGCTTCAGTATGCTCGGCTCCACGGTCAACACTCTTGGCACTAGCAGCCAGGAAATCAAAAAACATATTGCGATGGAAAAGTCTGCTGTTAAGGACCTCTCTAAAGTACTCAAGAGCAACGGTGTCTCTTTGGAGACGAAGGTGTGCCTGATACAGGCCATGGTCTTTGCAATCACTTGTTATGCATCAGAGAGCTGGACAATGACTAGGGAGGACAGAAGGAGAATTGATTCCTTTGAGCTGTGGTGCTGGAGAAGAGTGTTGAATGTACCATGGACTGCCAAGAAAACAAACAGATTCATCCTAGAGAGGGTTAAACCAGGCTACTCCTTGGAGGCAAAGATTCTGGGTCTTCGTCTGACATACTTTGGACATGTTGTAAGGAGAGACAGGTCCTTGGAGAGGGACATCATGCTTGGTAGGATGGAGGGATGGCACAGGAGGGGAAGACCCTCTATAAGGCAGATTGATTCAGTGACTGGGGTAATCAGGATGGGTGTGTCAGAGGCAATGCGATTGGCACAGGATAGAGCACGGTTTAGGGCTGTTGTACATAGGGTCGCTATGAGTCGCAAACGACTCAACGGCACATAACAACAACAACAACATAATATGAATTATCTAATTTGACCCTCAGAATAAGCTTAAGATATGGGTACAACATACTCAAAGTCATACTGTTAAGTAGCAGAGTTAAGATTTAAACCAAGTCTGACTGATTCTAAAACTAGTTGGATAAACCACTCAGCTAAAGAATGTATCTGATCTGACAGTATACTACACAATTATGCACAGCTTAGTGGTAAGGAGTTTTGCTGTTAATGCAAAGACGCACAGTTTGAATCCACCAGCAGCTCCATGTGAGAAAGATGGGCATTCTCCTCCTGTGTGATATACTGCCCCTGAAAACCAACTGGATGATCTGTTATGATCCTACACAAATGTACTTAACAACATCAACATCAACAAATATAATCAATCGATCAATCAATATTATAATTAAGCTTTGGAAGCTTTGTGGTAAGGCATTGGGCTGCTAAAGGCACTCATAGGCACACGGTTCAAATTCACTGTCTGCTCTGGCTGGAGAGAAAGACAGGCAATGTTTTTCTCATGAGATTCATGGTTTCTAAAAACCTGAGGAAGTCAATTATAAGTCGGTCTGACTTGATGATATATTATAACAACAACACCAATATTACGAGTTAACCTTTATTTTGTTTTGCATATATAACCAGAAATTTTTAAGGGGGGGAAAAAGGCTACAGGCTTTCTTTACTTTATAGCTAATTATTTGGGAAAAAAACCTTAGATCTGTATGTCACGTCACTTACTTTGGACACATGGCCAGGAGAGATCTGTCCTTGGGGAAGAACATCATATTCAGAAGGGTGGATAGACAGTGCAGGATAGGGAGACCCCAGATGAGATGGATTGATACAGAGACTGGGAAAATGGGGGTTGGTGTGTTGGAATTAATGAGACTGGCTCAAGAAAGGGAGGGGTTCAGACATGCTGAACATTGAGTTGCTATACAGTGCAGAAGACTCAAAGGCATATAACAATAATATACTATGACAGGTTTGGAAGCAGGAATGGCATCCACTTCCTAAACAACATGCCTCCAGAAACTCTGTGAACTTTGATAAATCGTTGATAGTTGTAGAGGGGCTTCAGGCCTTTTGTTTATAGGGTCACTATGAGTCATGCTTGACTCAAAGGCAATCAACAACATGTCACATCCACAGGGATTTGTACTGCTAACCCAAAAATGGTACATCTCTGTTAATTGAAGTCCACCTGTTGCTTGGCAGGAAAAAGACAGAAGACCGCCTCCATACAGTTCACAGCCTCAGAAAACCATCTAGAGTATTAGTTATCAGTCAGTTCTAACTTGTCAACAATGAATATGAGGTGTTTGTGCTAAACACTGTACTTTAAAATTTAAGAAACATACTCTTTTAAAATTTTATTTTATATTGATTTGAATGTAAAATTCATATACATTGTTCACCTTCTGTTTCATCCCTATTTATTATGTTTGGTTTTTTTTTTTACACTTTAGTAGTCAAAATGATGTCTTTGCTTTTTTTTAATTTAGTTTGTTTATTTTTCATGTCAATGAACATCTACAGAGATTTTGGAATTCCATTCATTCATTGTTGCACCCTTCTCCCAGCAC